CACTTGAATTTTAAAGTATGATGATTGCAAAGTAAGAGAAAGAAAATGTTTTGTTTTCCAGAAATGGTAGAATGCATTTACTTGCTGAGCAGGTGGTCCCGTAAGAGCCCTGCCATCAAGTCAACTGTGACTCAGAGCAACTCTCTAAAACAAGGTAGAACTGCACTAGGGTTTCCAAGGCTGTAATCTTTATGGACACTGATTGTCACACCACATCAGGCTCCCAAAGAGCACTGGTGGATTTGAACCATCAACCTTTCCATTAACATCCAAGTGCTTCACCATTGTACAACTGCAGGCACTTCTTGAGCTACTATCACTTACTATTGCTTGTGAATCAAAGCTGACTTATTCGGGAGCTCTGGTGGCCTAGTGGCAAGAAGCTGCACTGCAATCCCAGAGGTATGTGGTTCGAATCCACCAGAGACTCTGCTGGAGAAGGAGGGGCAATCTCCTCCTGTACCAGTCAGATCTGATTTGATGGTACACACATGTAAAATAATAAAATAAAATGAAAAAAAAAAAAAAAACTGGCTTAGCATCCACACTGATGCTCCAGCGGATTTTCAGAGGGTGCAAATCACGTGGAAGGAGATGGCCCATCTTTCTCCCGCGGAATAGCTGATGGGTTCAAACCATCTGTTGTTTGGTTGGCAGCACAGCTCTCTCCCCACTGTTGTTGTTGTTAGGACTCATTGTGTTGACTACACCTTATAGCGACCCTGGAAACAACAGATCTGAACCTTGCCCCGTCCTGCACCATCCTCCTCCCCAACTCTGATACACTGGAATCCATTGTCACAGCCACTGCGTCAACCCATCTGCTTGAGGGTCTTCCTCTCTTTCTCTGACCTTCCACCTTTTTCAACAAGATGTCTTTTCCCAAGGACTAGCCTCTCTTGACGCATGCACAAAGTATGTGAAATGATGTTTTGCCAATCTTGTTTCTAAGGAGCATCGTGTTTGCACTTCCTCTGAGATCAACTTATTCTTTTAACAGTCCCTGATTCAGTACTCTCCACACCACCATTCAAAAGCATCAGTTCTTCTTTTGTCATCCATCTTTATTCACTGTGCAACTTTGAGATGAATAAGAAGCCACTGGGGGAAAAATTGCTATCCACTAGGTCACCAGAATTAGACACAAAAGTCAGATTCACAAAACTCATTCTGTTCAAGTCATGACTAGACTTCTAAATGTGGGCTTTAAAAACTCAGAGAAAGGGTTTCTTATTGATCTTGATAATAACACAAGAGAGATCCAACAGTTAGCATCTGGGGAGGAAACTGAACGTCACATATGAGGAGTTGGCTGATGAATTAAAAAATCTAACCTTTCACTATAAAAATCAATCCTCTCATCTTTTGTCCCCTCTGTAAATATCAACCACCTCCTCCTCACAGAGGGTAACTGCCACAGGAGAAGGTGGGAGTACATTCTGAAGGCAGCAGTAATACCATGTTAAATCCTCCAGCTACTATTCTTGCTAAGAACCACATCCGATTTTTAAAATATTAGACTCATCAACAACCTGTATTATGCAGATAGCATAGCTTTGCTTGCTGAAAATGAAGAGGATTTTAAAATGCTTGTTGCAGAAGATAAAAGACTTCAATATGGATTACATCTCATCATCAAGGAGATAAAAATCCTCCCTACTGGACTGATAGACAACATCATGATAAATGGAACAAAGACTGAAGCAGTCAACAACTTTCTCTTACTTGAATCCACAATCAACACCTTAGGTACTAGTAGTTAGGAGATTAGGAGACATACAGCACTAGGGAAGTCTGCAGTCAGGAACTTTTCCAAATTACTCAGGAACAATGATGTCAGTTTGAAGACTAAGGTGCACCTGATTCAGGCCATGGTCTTTTTAATCACTTGCTATGCATCTGAGAGCTCGACAATGAATAAGGATGACAGAAGAAGAATCGACGATGCCTTTGAACTGTGGTGTTGGAGAAGAGTGCTGAATATCCCAAGCGCTGCTAAAAGAACAAACAGGTATGTCTTGAAGAAAGTGCAGCTGGAATGCTCCTTGCAGGCAAGGATGACAAAGACATGCGGGAAATAGCATTTTAATTATGTTCCTTAAAAGTGAAACAGTCATAACAATAATGGCTTATGGTGTGGAAAAATGCAAAATTTGTATGGCATTGTATCAGAAATACATCTTCAGGCGACTGAGTCAGATCGAGACCAAGACTAGGCACTCAAGCCTGTGGTCATCACAACCCAACACCTGTGGAGTGAATGTCTCTTTACATTTTGTGCCCTGATGATCTCCTTTGGCCTCAGGCTCCTCCTCACTTGGGTTCAGATAAAGTAAATGAAGAGGTGGTGTCTGACCTTAAGGGGAAAACGCAAACCAATCAGCTAATGTACCAAGCTTGTACGTTTTTCAAGTGGTGGTTCCAGTATCGTAGTTATACTTTATCTATAAGATACTGCCAATTGTAGAGTTGATTTCAACTTTGGGTGTATATCTAGAAAAATTAAATAAATGCAGCCCCGAAAAAAAGAAGAAAGTAATTTTCTGAGGAAAAACAAAGTCTGATGCATTGGAAATGTGCAATAATGATGACTTGCTGAAAATGAAAAAAAAAAAAAAGAAAAGAATGCTTAAACAAACAAGAAGGCAGGGATGAAGAATGAGAGATGTTACATAAAAGTTGCTCAGAAGTAGATCAGCAGAAGAGACAAGAACATTTCTCCAGAGCTGACAAAGAAGGAAAAACTTTGCCTAGAAAAGGCACCCTCAATTTGGACGTCCAACCTCTAAAACTGTAACAAATCAAGTTTCTGTTTCTTAACACCATCCAGTCATGACATTTCTGTTCTAACACCTCATAATAACTAAGGCAACAGCTGAAGCATTTTTCAGAAAGGCAGGAAGAATAAACAAAAGTCTTAGCAAGAAATAGATTTTGAGTAGACAGAACACTCAGAGTTTGATTTTGTACATATGCATCATCTTTTAAAATCTTTTTTAACTAAGCAAATGTTTAGACTTTGCAATTTAAAAACCAATCAAAGGGGAAAGATGGAAATTGCAAGAACGAGACTGTTATCAGTCACTCAAGCTCAATGACTCAAGAAAAACACATCGTTCGTCCGCTCTGTGAAGGATGAAGAACAACACGCCCCTGATCCTCAATATTTACTATTCAATTGGCAGATAAAATGCAAACAATTAAGTTGCTCAGGAATACAAGGCAGAAAATAAACACCTATAAAGCACGTATAGCAGAAAACTTATCTTCAAAGATAAAAATAATTGAGCTTTCAAAAATGTAGGTTTTGGATGGAAATGAATAACAATTTAATGGTAGCTGAGAGCTGATCAATGAATAAATAAGAATAACTGAAGAACTGATGCTTTTGAACTGTGGTGTTGGGGAAAGTACTGAATATCCCGTGGAACAAACTCATATATCTTGGAAAACGTGCAGCCACAGTGATTCTTGGAAACAAAGATGATAAATCTTCGTCTCACATACTTTAGGCTTGTTGCTAGGAGAGGCTATCCCTTGGAGAAGGAGATCATTCTTAAAAATATGGAGGGAGGGCGAAGGAGCAGAAGACGCTCAACCAGGTGGGTTGACATAGCGACTGCAGCAATGGGCTGGTGTGTGTCAGAGATTGTAAAGATGGCACAGGGTAGGACAGGGTTCTGATCTGCTAGGAGTCGAACTCAACTCGGTGGCACCTAACAACAACAACAACATAAAAATATAATTATCGGTTGCTACATCTGTAGACAAGGACTAGGCACATTCCCATCAAATTTGGAAAGCATGCTAAAGATGGCCTGAATGCATGGCCATCCGATAGTCAGAATCGACTCATAGTGGACCCTACAGTGAATTTTCAGAGATTGTCATTTAGGAGACAAATGAGGAGATGGCCCACCACAGAAAAGCTGGTGGATTCGAACTGCTTACCTTGGATTGGCAGCACAGCACCCTACCCACCATGCCACCACAGCACCCTGAATTTAATATGGGCCATGATTAAATTACATTAGCAGGTAAACTGTCGTCCTGATTATTTGAATGTGGAAATGAATTCTGTGCTGTCGTGGCATGAACTGTTAAGGAAATAGGACTGCATCACTTGTATTTAAGGTTCGAATAACTTTGAGCTCTGGTGGCCAAGCAGATAAGGAGTGGCACTTCCAATCCAAAGACTGGTTTGAATCCATGAGCTGCACCTCAGGAGAAGGGTGGCAATCTCCTTTCGTGTGATATATTGCCTCTGCAGTTCTGAAACTTGTCCTACCCTCTGCCTCTTCTTTGCCTCCCAGGAGCACTGTGGCTGCACCTTCTCTAAGACATATCTCTGTTCTTTTGGCCGTCCATGGGATATTCAGTACTCTTCTCCAACATTACAGTTCAAAGTCTTCAATTCTTCTTTTGTCATCTTTAGTCATTGTCCAGCTGTCATATGTAAGAGTAACTCCCAAGTGACTGTCATGGCTGGGATCAGGCACACCTTGGTCCTCAAACTGACATTATTCCTCCTCAATAATTTGGAGATGTCAGAAATTTCAGGAAGTACCATATGATCAAGAGACAATGAAGGAAGAAGTTCAAGCTGCACCAGATGCATTGGCAAAATATAAGGGCCCAGGTAACTGATGTGATACAAATTGACACGTTTCAAATGGCAGATGCAGCCCTGGGCGTGCTTGCCAGGCGGGAAATTTGGAGGACAGACACCTGAGTGATGGACTGGGAGAGATCCATGTATTTTTACACAGATGGTAATAATTTTCCCCCCTGAGAACACAGAATGAGAAAATGCTGATCTCAGCATTAAATCTTTAAAGGTTAAAAAACCTGACTGACTAACTAGGGCAAAGAACTGAGCACTTTGTTGGAACCCAAGGAGAGGTGATTTTATGTGTGGCAAGTGCCCGCTGAGCCTTCCTCTTGCCTCTTTATGCTTCACTCCTCCCTCCTCACTAAGCGAGGCAGGAGGGAATACTCACCCACACACCTCTTCCCGTCTTCAGCCAGGGTGTAGCCACTGTAGCACTGGCAGACGAAGGAGCCTGGCACGTTCACACAGAGCTGCTCACAGGCATGGTCCTCCACTGCACACAGGTCCTGGACTGAAGCAAGGGTTGCATCGTAAGTATAAAACTCAAAGAAGACGGGACCATCAGCACAGGGCAGTGCAACAAAGGACTCCATAGCACTTATTAAAATAATTCTTAAACTCTCAATAGCCAAAAGGTGGATGGAAATAACCCCAATGCCCATTAACATATGGATGATAAAAAAAAATGTTCTATAAACCAGTTGCCATCAAGTCAATTGATTGTGACTCATGGTGACCCCAGGTGTATCAGGTAGAACTGTGCTCCACAGAGTTCTAAATCACTGGCTTTTTTGGAAGTAGAACAACAGGTCTTTCCTCTGAGTCCATCCTCTAGATGGACTCAAACCTCCAACCTTCTGGTTAGCAGTCAAATGTGTTGACTTCTTGCACTGCTGAGTGACTCTTAATACCAGCTGTAAAGAGAAGTGAAGTTCTAATGCCTGCTCCAATGTGGACGAACCTTGAAAACATTGCTAGGTGTAATTACCCAGACACATGAGGATAAAGATTACCTTCTTCTACTAGCATGAAAAATCTAGAATAGGCAAATGTATGGCGATAGAAAGGGGATAACAGGTTTACCAGGAGCAGGGGAAAGGGAAGAATGGAGGATTGTCCCCTAAGGGGTGCGGGGTTGCTGTCTGGAGTGATGAGCAAGGTTTTGTAAATAGCAGGTTCCATAATATAGAGAGCAAGGTGAACGAGTGAACAAGGTTTCATAATATCGTGAATGTGACAAACGTCACTGATCTTTACACTTAAAAAGTGGTTGAAATATCAAATTACATTATATGTGTCTACAACAATTAAAAAAGGAAAATAACTCTTAAAAACAAAGCATAGTAAAAAAATTTGGGAAACAAAAATATATGGACAAAAACTGCAAATAATCCCACCTACTGTGATCCTATCAGCCAGATTAACTGCTGCTCATGTTTCTATGAGTTTCCCTTCCAAGTGGGTTTCTATGTAAACACAAAAACATCTTTTTTCAAAGTTGAAATTACCCAAGTGTAGTAAAGGCACTAAATACCATTAAATAGCATCAGTTTGTATTTTCTCATGTCAAAGAAAGTGCTCTGGAAATATTTGGATGGTTCTTAAAAACTATAAATTACTATGAGCCAGCATATGTACTCTCAAATACAAATCAAGTACTGTTCCTCAGGGAACTTAAAGTGCTTCACCACGGTACTCCCACTGATTTAGACTAGGATAATTTGGCACTGTCTTTGACATCTTGCAGATGGGGAAGCTGAGGGAGAGCACAGTTACAAGACCAGCTAAATCACTGAAAACATTGCAGGTCCAAGATCTGCTACTAATTCCCAAGTCTGTATCACTCTCTTTGGTCACTTTCCTCTATCTATCTATCTATCTATCTATCTATCTATCTATCTATCTATCTATCATCTACCTATCTACGGATCTCTGAAATCCTCTTTGCATTATTTATTAATCCCAATATGAAATGAGGGAAATGGAGAAGCCAAAGAAGGTTGTTGTTAGGTGCCATTGAGCCAACAATGACTCATAGTGACCCTATGAACAACAAATCTGAACCTTGCCCTATCCTGTGTCATTCTCACCACCTCTAATATACTTGAGCCCCTAGTTGTATCCTTACTCCATACATACTCTATCTATATACTGAGCAAATGATCTGAGAACTCTATGAAGAATATGCATCAGAATCAGAGGACGCCTCATCAATAACCTTCATTATGCAGACGACACGATCTTACTTGCTGAAAGTGAGGAGAACTTGAAGAGCTTACTGCAGAAGATCAAAGAACGCAGCTACCAATATGGATTGTATCCCAATGTCAAGAAAACAAAAATCCTCACCACTGGACCAATAGACAACATCAGGACAAATGGAAAAGAGAGTGAAACTGTCAACAACTTCATCTTACTTGGATCCACAATCAATACATTTGGTACCAGCAGCCAGGAGATCAGAAGATGTATTGCATTGGGAAGGTCTGTAGCCAGGGGCCTCTCTAAATTATTGAGGAGCTATGATGTCAGTTTGAGGACTAAGGTGCACCTGATTTAGGTCATAGTCTTTTGCTATGAATTTGAGAACTTGACAACAAATAACAGAAAAAGAGATGCAGCTCTGGATATACTTACCAATCTGTGTCAAGAAATTTGGAAGACAGCCATCTGGCCAACTGACTGTAAGAGATCCATACTTGTTCCAATTAAAAAAAAAGGTGATACAATAGAATGTGAAAATCATCAAACATTACCACTAATACCATATGCAAGAAAGATCTTGCTGAACAATATAAAAAAACTAACTAGAAGAGTACATTGACAGGGAACTACTAGATATTCAAGCTGGATTTAGAAGAGGTCATGGCATCAGGGATATAACTGCTGATGTCAGATGGATCTTGTCTGAAAGTAAAGAAACTAGAAAGGGAGTTAGGTAAAAGTAGTATTGAATATCCACAAAGTGCTGAACCCTGGCTATTTATTCAAATGCAATATAAGAATACATTTACAGGAATGCATCTAATGCAGTGCAACCGAGACTAAATCACAGGATGGAAATGCTGCATGTTTTTTCAATCCATCACTGCTTCAGTCCTCGCATAAACAATCTGACATGATGACGCTGTTTCTCACCCAAGAGCCTAGGAAATAGAACTGGATCTCCCTGGGGTTTTTACCATTAAAGTCGTAGGACATCAGAACACAGTAAAAGTATTAAAAATACTAGAGAGAATTTTCTATCTAATAGGAAAAAACCCAGTATGTTAAAAATTATCACTACAAAAGTTATGGTAAAAATGCAATGAACTGAAATACTGGATTAATGCCTGAATCCAACAGCTAAATTTTACTATAATCTCAGTTTTAGAACTAAGGTATGTCTGATTCAGACCATGGTCTTTCTAATCACTTGCTATGCATCTGAGAGCTGCACAATGAATAAGGATGACAGAAGAAGAATTGACTCCTTTGTGTTGTGCTGTTGGAGAAGAGCACTGAACACCCTATGGACGGTGAAGAGAACTAACAGATATGTCTTGGAGAGGGTGAAGCCAGAGTGCTCTTTGGAGATAAGAACAATGAGGCTTCACTTTACGTACTCTGTGCATTTTGCTAGGAGGGGCTCTTCCTTGGAGAGGGACATGATGCTTGGTAGGGTTGGCAAAGGAGAGGAAGACCCACAACCAGGTGGACTGACACAGTGACTGCCACAATGGGCTCTAGTGTGTCAGGAAGTGTGAAGATGGCACAGGATAGGATAAGGTTCAGATCCATGGTTCATAAGGTTGCTATTTGTCATACTCAACTCAAGGGCACCTAACAACAGCATAGAGTCTGCTTTATTGATTTAAGAATGATAAAAAGTTAGATGAATTAATATTTTCAACCAGGAACTCTCATTGACATTTCAAAAAAATTTAGAAGTAAAGAAAACGCCAATAAGTGGAATATTCCCCAAACTCAATATATCAAATTCATTGTCACTGAGTCTATTTCTACTCATTTTGACCCTATAGGAAAGAGTAGAACTGCTTCATATGGCAAGTAAAACTTGAAGCGTTTGCTGCAGAAGATCAAGGACTATAGCCTTCAATATAGATTATATCACAACACTAAGAAAAAAATTCTCACCTCTTGGCCAATAGGAAACATCATGATGGGTGGAGAAAAGACTGAAACTGTCAATAATTTCATCTTAGGTGACTTCACAATCCACACCCTTAGTACCAGCAGTCAAGAGATCAGGAGACATGTAGCACTGACAAATTGATGTCTCTTGTCAGAGACCTCTCCAAAGTCCCAAAGAGCAAGGACATATATCATTTTATTTTATTTTTTTAAGAGTTGTGACATACATTTATTACATTTTTTAATTTTATTTTATTA